CGAGTTCGTAGAAGCCAATGAAAGTCATTAAATCTAAGTCTAGTGAGTCTCGACTTTGTTTGTTACTCACTAGGCCTCTGTTTCCCTCAAAATTTATTCTATATGTTTGTTGTTTTCTACGTTTTAAACATTTTCTAAAGAGAAATATGGCATTATCATTGAAAATACTTCGCTATATTTTGGTTCCTTTACTCACATTTTGCACAAATTTATCGGATCAAAAAACTAATTTCATCTTCTCTTCCTTTCTCTTCTTCTGAAGAAATTTTCTTTAAATACCCTTTTATTGCTGATTCTGAAAGTGCTCCCCTTTTTCTTGTTGAGTCCATTTTATAGTGCTTTATTTAAATCCTCTACGTTCGCAGTGATAGTTTTCACACTCGTTGTTTTACCTAGAAAGATAATATCGTAAGAAAAAAACAAAACACAATCCTCATTCCCAAAACCTTAACATTTCTGCCTCTAACACAATCTGGCTTTAGTTTTTTCCAGGTCGAATTCATTGTCCAGTAAGTCATTTGCTTCCAGTCTTTGTAAATGTAGTAATGTGAGTTACGCAACGGAAAGATTTTTTTAAATTGTTGTGAATGTAATTCTGGTGGAAAATCATTCTTTGCCGAATCGAGTTTTTATATCTAAAGATACTGTTTCGTTACCCGAGATGTTCAGATAATTTATTCTCCAGGATCCATTGTATTAAAAATAAAATTGATAATTTTAGCTCTTCATCGTAGCTACATGTATGTTTAAGCAAGGTGCTGCATTTCTCTGCACGTTTAATTGTTCTTAATGACATATTATGCTTGATGTAGTGTTTTTACACTATTAAGGGTTAATACATTGGTGTCAAAAATTTAGGAAAACAAGTGAAATTTTTGGAATAAGTTAAACCACCTAACAGTAAATATCTGAAAATTAGGAGATATGTTTAATTTTGAATGAAAAATGTTATTTGCGTATCTGTTGGATATGAAAGTCATAAAACTGGCATTTTATGAAGAAATCGTATAAGCAGCTTTTTTATATATAATTCAGTGGTTTTGATGAATAGAGTGATGAGAGTGGTCAAATACACTGAAGTGCCACTAAGTTAGGGATAGCAAGCCAATAACGAGTTGGGCCTCCTCTGGCCTTGATAATAGCTGCACACGACGAGGCATAGATTCAATAACTTTGCGGAAGCATTTTTTTCTTACGGCTTGCCAAACGTCGGATAAAACTGTCCATTATTCAAGAAGGGTCGCTAGTGTTTTGTGATGTGGTTTCACACCTCTCTCCAAAACATCCAAATTGTACTCAGTAGGATTTAAGTCATAGCTTCTAGGTGGCCAGTTTATGACAGAGAAGTCAGAGGAATGGTCATCCAACCAGGCAGTAGCCAACCGGACCTGTGAGAGGGGCAGTTATCTTGCTGGAATACTCAATTTCTATGGGAATGACAGGACGACATAACTGGATAAAGATGATCCTCGAAAACTCTATGTGCCGAATCATATTGAGGGAGGTTGGTACAACTACCAAAAATTGCAAACACTGCTAAGAGAAAACACCCAAGACTGTGACTTAGCCGCCATGCCTTGTACAGTTTCAACCTGGCGTACACGATCCATGGCTTCATGAGCCGGACACCCTATTCTCAGCCTCTCGTTGTGTTAGGTAGTCGGAATCGAAAGTCATCACTCTATGCTACTCGTTTCCAATCCTGTAGAGACTATTCTCAGTGTACTCTTGCCTTGGCAAGACGTGCAGCTCGATGACATGCATTGAGTAATGGTACTCTTATGGATCTACAGCTCCCGAAGCCCATATGGTGAAGCGAGTGTTACACGATCCTTTCAGTAACTATACGACTGTCACCCTGATTCAGCTGGGTGGTAATTTGAGCTAATGTTTGGCTTCGCTGGCTGTGTACAATGCGGCTGAGCTGTCTCACACCACGCTCTTTCAAGGCTTATTGTCCCTTGCAAATTGCTCGATCACTAGTTTTCCCCCCGCCATCCGTATATTCTCATTATACTCTTGACACTCTCGACCTTAAAAATCCTAGCTCTATGACGATTTCCGAAATTGAATGGCCTATGCGTCGAGCGCCTACTATCTGTCCGCGATAGAAGGTGTCTAACTCAGAAGTTTACCCATACTGGATACTGAAGTGACTGATTAACAACAGCTATATTACCAGCTATATAAACAGTTACCACAACATTCTCACGTGAGCCAAAATGTGAGTTATTTAAGCATGGCAGTGCACTCGAGGGCTATCTGCCTAAGGGAAAGGGTGCCTTCACGAAGGACTTTCTAAAGGTATAAACTGCCTCGTATTCACGTTACACATGCGAAAAAGCACAAAAACCAACTTTGCAACCAATTCATTCGCCTGAATTCCAGCCCATATTGTACAATCAGTATTCAACAATCTTTAACCGGTTAACCACTTGTGAGGCCTATGTTTCTCAGATGGAAATCATATGGTCACCTACTGCGCCATGCAGAATTGCTAAAGATTTAGTGAACAGAATAGTGCGTTGGAGAATTGCTGATATATTTTAAGGGGTCGTGCCAATTTTACTTCAGGTATTATCATAATCAAACAGTTCTCGCTAATTTCAAGAGTACTGTCATTCATTGTTATTATTTATATATTTAACACATGCTTAAAAAACGTGGATGAAAGTTTTGAAACATGTATCTACTATATCCGCTTCACGAAAGACTACACATCTGACTTTGTTGAATTAATCTTTTTATGCGTATCTCATTATCAAAATGTTTTGAAAGTTTGATATGGTACTTGGTATTGAGTATGTATGAAGGTTCTTGTGAATTTCAGTGAAAGAATTCCATTATGTTATCGAATCATTTATTAGCTTTCAGCTTGCGGTCGTCCTTCATTATTATCTATAAGCCGATGTCACATCTATCATTCCCACCCTTTAGAATTCCTCTCCTTTGCTATTAAAGATTCTCTACATTGTCGCAGTCTTTTCCATGAAGAAATTTGTCTAATAAGCGAAAGAGCTTGTAAGCCTTTGAAACAGTAGATGACGCATGAATATGGATATAGAGGACAGTGGATAAAGAGGATGCAAGTACGAAATTCCTCCATAACTCCTATCCCTGGGTCCTATAACGGGTATGGGATTTGGAGTTATCATGACGGAATTCAACTCCCTGGTGGTTCACCAGTGACGAGCGCTGTTCTATTAAACATTGTGAGGGTAGCCTGACTGCTTATAATACCACCATATTTAACATTTTGGTTCGGTGATGGTATAAGGTATTTCTCCCTCTTTCCTAGCGTGCCTTCGTGGTGTAACGGTAGCACGCTGGGCCGGTATTCCAGAGGTTCATGGTTCGATTCCCCGCGAAGGCGGTTGCATATTTTTCATCTTTTCCGTTTTCAAATAACCTAATATGGTAATGCTCAATAAGTCACGCCTCTAAATATCCCATGAGACTCTTAGCAAAATCTTTTGTAGATAAAATTTTGTTTTGCAGTGGTTCCTGATTATCTGTCTGGCTTACAACAGTCCAGCGCTCTAACGTTTGATATTTTTGTATAGAACCTAATTCTTATACCAGATGCTATTTGACGCAAAACTCTAGACGCATTCTTCAAAGCGAGGTTTCAAACACAACAAGTCAATATTTTTTGCCTGTTTCTTTCCAGTAATTTATGTAGTACCAAAGTATCCATCTTTACTACAAATTCCGTAATCTAAATCCATTTGTCTACACCTATCCTATGAAAGCCTACTTTCTCCATCAATTCTGCAGCTGCAATCGGTTTATCGTTTCACTAGTTTTCAATAGGTTCTCATCTTTAAGGTCTTTCTGAACAATTTAGTTGGCTTTCAAATACCTTCTGTCCTTCTTATATTTATCCCTTTATTCTTCTTAGTCCTCGTGATAAGGGTTATTTGGTTTAAAGTTAAGCAAAAAAAAAAAAAAAAAAAAAAAAAGCAACCTTGGTTTGGTGAAGATTTTAACTAAATTATATCGATTTCGAGAGCGATCAGACACAGATCTCTGTATATATATATAAAAAAAAGCTTTTAATGACTATTAAGAGACAATTAGGCTTTTTGGAGCAAAGAACTTAAATATTCATTTGAGCTTTACAGAGATTCGAAACACAGATCTTGCATTTTCTATAGTCCATTATTTTAGAACAGCTATTTTTCTCCTTTAGCCACTACTTTAGAATAGCAGCTTTTCTACATATGGCTTATCTCCTAAATATGGTAACGATTGCTAAGGAAAATGGTCAAGCCCTAATTCATTGAAATCTCCTCTGTGCTGTGATGACGATATAGTATGTTTCGCTTGTAAATGAGAGAGGGCCACTATGATTTAACTATTTTAAAGTAATATATTATAGATACATGTGCTTACCACTTACAGAACAATAGCGTGCACAAGAAATGCGATAATTTATATTTTTTCTCGTTTAATGGATACATGGCGAGAGATGTAAAATCCAGTAGACTAAATCTAAGTAGTGAGAAGTTGTCGCTCATCTTATTTCTTTCGGGTCAGCATCATAATTTTTGGAGTAATCATGCTTAAAAACCAATCATGCCTTCGCACAGATTCGAACTGCGGATCTTTCAGCTTCCATCCGGATGTACTAACTACTTACGTGCCAAGGCGCAAGGAAGATGGAATAATTCCCAGTAAATTAATTCAGTAAAGCCCTTAAACCTTAAAGGAACTGATTAAAAATGACTTTGTAATTCAATTACATTCATGGGTAAACCGAATAAGAATATGTTGGATTATAAATTAGAAAAACGTAATAGTATACTTTATAACAAATAATAAATATATTTAACAAATAATAAACAACAATATATATTTAACAAACAATAAAAACTTTACCTTTTATTTATTATGCCTTGTTTAGTATACTTTAATTTGCTAAAAAGTCAATACATTTTGTAAATTTCTAATTGTCTCACATCTGTATTTAATATATTAATTTGTTTTCTAATTCATAGGTTGCTCTTGGAGATATCTATACTACGATGCCAGATAAAGTTCGCTTGATTTCGTCGCTCTCCCAAGAACTTACAGGCCACAGTTTACATGTATGTATGATTTTACAGTACAAATTATAGTCCTTAGAAGAATTTATGATTTGTATTAGTTGTTTATCTTTAATAAAATGCAACTTTTGAGTGCAATGTCTGCATTAAAGTACTGTTTTTCAGTTACGTGATTTGCTAACAATTATTTATACAGTGGAACCTCGAAATACGAGCACCTCTATATACAAGAAATTCGAGATACAAGGAAAGTATGAGAGAAACATTCGTCTCTAAATACGAGCATTGACTGGAGTAACGAGCAACGAGCCAGGCTGTTGGTATGCGTGTCGCGTTTCTCGATCAGGCTCGACTCGGGGAATCCCCTCGTCAGATCACTCAGCGTTCTTTGATCTACGTGTTTGTGCGCTTGTTAGTTGATTGTTTTTTATATTTAACGTAAAAATAATTATTTCACGATGCCTCCCAAGAAGGTTGTTACCTTAGTACTGCAGAGAAAAAGAAGGAAGCCATGGCCGTTGAAATTAAGAAAGAAATCATAGATAAACATAACGCGTGATGTAAGACTGGTGGAACTAGCAAAGACTTACGGCCGTTCGACATCGACGATATGCACTATTCTGAAGAAGGACGAAATTGAGAAACTTGATGTGGCCAAAGGAGTTACCGTTATTCCCAAACACACTAGGTCGAGAAGCTGTTGTTGGTGTAGTTTAATGAGAAGCAGTTAAAAGGCGATTCGGTATCGGAAGCTATCATTTGCGCTAAGGCTAAGAATCTGCACTTGAACCTTCTCCCACCTTCTTCCAGGTACGTCGACTGAAGATGAGATGATAATGAGATTTTTAGGGGTGCGGGACGGAATAACTGGATTTCCACTATTTTTAATGAGGAAGTTTGTTTCTAGATAAGAGAAATTTGCTATACGAGCTCAATGCTGGAGCGAATTAAACTCGTATCTCTAAGTTCCACTGTATTTATTATTCAAAAGAAAAAAAACCAGACATTAGACATGTTTCTAGCAGAATCTATTCAGAATTTCTGGGTCGTTACGATACATTACACCAGGTATTTGCATTTATTATTCAGACACTTTGGCAAGCTCTGCAACTGTTCGAAACATAAAATTTTTAATTGATCTTACATGCGGCATTGACCACAGCCATTTCTCAGAGGAACGCCATTCGGCATTTTTAATTTATATCTCAGATTGAATCAATATACGACTGCCTTATAAAATGGGCAATATGAATGTAGTATAAGAACTTTAAAAAAATTAAAGCTTTATTTTATTTTTGAAAATTTTATATTTAATCATAATAAATTTAAATGTATTTGATTTATTGTATATCAGACGGTCTGAAAAAGTTTTATGAAAATTGAAACATTTTTTTTTCAATTAATAATTCATATGTCCAGTGTCAGACAATATGTGCAAGTACCTACAAGTATTTTTGATAACTTTTACGTTTTATTCTTAATTTTAGCACAATAATCATAACAAGCGGCATGATATGAAAATATGTGCGTTATTTTTATTACTAAGTGTATTGTTATTCAAGTGGAAATCTAAACGTTTGTTTATTTATATCTTCATCGGATATAGCTTCAACGACAGAAATATACATATATATATGCTTATTTCTGAAGAATCTTAGTATTTGTAGGAGTTATTTCCCGAAAGGTGGTGACAGGTGAGGACAGGTCCGGACACCCGGGCGGCTTGCAATGACTAGTCGGATATCTTCCGGATCCCGCAACTACCTAAAGCTACACTCCGAAATCAAGACATTATGTTGTCATACAAGGGCAAAGTATCAGATTATTCTTCATGCGTTGCATATAGTTCCTGAAATTTCCCGCAAGTTAAGGCGGTTCTAAATTTTTTTCCTATTTAATAGGATATAATTTTTAACTCTCTTTCCTCCCCTAACCCCGAAAAAAAATTGGCGCAGTATTAGAACGATGCTTGATCTAATGAAACCATGTTTACAAGCACCGAGGCTCGAACATGTAAGCTATATGAAGTCATGACTAATGGCCAAATAGTGATTCATTAAGGTACACGAAAAAAATGCAAGAGTGTATCAGAAGCAAAGCTTGACATAAACAATTATTATTACGGTCATATGAACCGATAAAGAGGCTTTGAACTTAGAATTCTGGGTTGATCCAAGCTCCATATCGCTAGGCATATTGGAAGGCATTGAGTAACAGTCCACCGATATTGGCACCATTAGGTGATTGGATTAGTTCATTCATTCATAATCCAGTGGCGACCTCGCTTTCAGTACTCTAGATCAGTTCTTGTTGCTCAGAAATATTATATTAAGCTTATATACGAGATATGACAATCAAGATGAATAAATGACGTATGAAATGTGCACACGCGGTTGACGAAAGTGCGGAAAATATGTTTTATAATGTGTTTGAAGATGCATTACGGATTCTGTTAGGAAAATCTAGCGTGTAAACGTGTAGCAGTAGCCGTAAAATGGAGCAGTGAACGAATTTTAAGTTCTGTTTCAAGCCTGGTAAATCTGCAAAAAAAAAAAAAAGTCATTGCAGGGGAAAATAACTTTACGAAGACGAAGCCGTGTCTTAAATTTGTTTAAAGGTTTAAGTGCTGTTGGGATGGCGGAATTCCACTGAAAACCTACTCGAAATGATATGCCTATGATTTTTCGTAGAGACGAAAGCATTGGAAAAATGAAGAAGGTGTTAGCCAGAAAAAGCAATAATGAATGTTAACGCTTATAATGATATTCTAACATTTTTTGCCAAGAATATGCTGTGTACGCCCAGAATGCGCCGAAACTGACTTTTGATTTCTTATCCATGGTAATCTCAGACTACATTCGGCCCTCGTCTCTGTTTTATTATTGAGACTTGCCTAACAACGTCATAACAAGTCTCGTACGATTGAACCTGTCGTTGGAATGGCCGTTCGCACTCTATAGGTGACATCATGACTTTGCCCAATTCCATTCTAATTTTAAAGAAGAATCTCCCTGAGGACAGGTACAAGGATCTTTAATTTCCTACTAACAAATCACTGGAGAGGATTTCTAAGTCACCGTGTATTTTAAGTGCCCCTATGCCGCAAAGGCACTATACTGTCACAAACATGTAAGACTTCTCCAGAATTAGAATCTGGACACAACAGCTAGCAACGCTAACCACTATACTGATCTAGGACGGCAGCCCTCGTCAGGAAATTGTTTACGACTTATAGAAGGAGCAGCCATCTATCATCCACCGTAGTCACCTCATCTTGCTCCAACAGCATTTTTTTTTTTGTTCCCGCACCTGAAGGACCATAGAAAGAGATCGATTTTGCGGATATTCCACACGTTCAAAGCCATGCGACGAGCATTCTTCACGAGTTACCGAATAAGGACTTCACTCGCAGTTTTGAGGAACTGTGGGGTTGTTATAAAAAATGCATTGAAACGACGGCATTACTTTGCAGGAATGTAAAATGTCTTTTTAGGTAAGAATTAGTAAGACCCTGATTCTCCAGCAAATCGAAAATGCTTTAAATTAAAATGACCAACTAACGTACTTGTGTCATGTCCAAGATTCGAAAACCTTATTTCCAACCCCCGATGATCTATCTTGGAAACTTTTTTGGATCTATTAATATTGATGTTAACTTGTCGAGAACTAACTTTTTTTAACTGCTCAATATTCTCTCTCAGACTGTGTTTGATTACTCTCATGTTCAAAATCATTACTTGTAAACGTAAACATTGACAAGCTGAGGGCGTCATCTTAGCTCTTTTTTTTCTCTTCGCCCTTCTTTTTTCTTTGCCATTCTTTTTTCTATTCGCCTTTCTGAATCATAGTAACCAAAATGCTGGTATCACTGCTAAAGCTGGAAATGATAACTAAAGAAACCATACGTAGTAACTAAAACAGGCAACTCATGCTTTAAAGCTCATTCATTTTATAATATCTTAAAACTAACATCAAAACAATTGGCAGAATGCAAATCATAAAATTAGATCTTATTAATAAGGTTTCTAGAATTCCATTGATTGTATTCGAATCTTAAAATTCACATCCATTTTAAAATGATTTACACATTTTTAAAACAAAGAATAATTAAATTAAACATTTTGAATTCTTTCCAGTATTCTTAGATACTGAATTAGTATTTTTGTGAGTTAGCAGTTCATATGAACTTTATTATTTGGTAATAAACATGCCATAAGAACAAAAATATAACCAAACATTGTGAATCCTTTTACAACTACAAGCAGTATCAACTTTTACGGGTGAAAAGATCAGGAGCAAATCATCAATTTACATCTCGAACATAAATAGTATGATGAATATAAAAAAAAGTATGGCAGTATTTAAGACTTTTTAAACGTTAACATTGATCAGCTGATTGCGTCCACGGAACACTTTCATTTCTTCGCTTTTTCTAATATAAGATTGCTTTTTATGAATACTTTATTATCATACTTTATCAATAAATCTGAATACTCATATAAAATTATTAACAAAATGTGGGCAATCATGCGAAGCAACAGGTTTACTAAAATTAATTTTCAGTTGCATTCCATCATAAATCTGAACGTGAACTTTAGTGGATTACGTATTTCCGGAGTACTGAAAACACACATACGTTAAAAATTTTTACAATCAATACTAAGAATTTTTTGTCAATCTTTTGTTATGGGCCTTTCATTAAACTCTTAGATGCAAAACAAAAATGAATGAATATTACTCAGATTTATAAGAATGCATTCTGGCGATGTTGTCGGGCTATTTCATCTAGCCATGCACGACAATTAGAAACCTTTCCAAAACACGAATTTTTCCCGATACGTTTTAAACAGGAGATTTCTAGTCGAAACATTTGCGCTCGACGATGTGCTATGGGTACATTTTATGATGCTGGCGAAATATTTTGTCTGCGCATGCTCAGTCTCGCATAGGAAGAAGACCACACTAAGATACTATACTCTAAGATATTTTTCCATGAGCCAACCTGTCAGCTTGCTCGAAGCTAAGATTCCGGAATGTTTCTTTAGACACATCTTGAGGGTAGCTGACAAATCTGAGGCCCTATTTTATTGACAAATTTTAGGCCCTATTTTATTTAATATTTACACGAACGACATCCCACATACACCACATACCACCTTAGCAATGTATGCAGATGATACAGCAATTCTCCCCAAAAGCGCATCTCATGGCTCAGTTATACAAGCACAACAAAATCACGTCCATGCACTGGAGTCTTGGCTGAGTGCCTGGAAAATCCAGATTAATGTTACAAAATCAGATGCTATCCTTTTCACCAGAAGGAAAATGTTTAACGTTAATGTGCCCGTCAAAATGTATGATACTTCAATCTCCTGGGAAAAGCAGGTCTGCTACCAAGGTGTTATACTTGATCGTTGGCTCACGTGGTACCCCCACATTACAAGTATTCTAAACAAGTAAATTTACAGTGCCCCCCAACTGCTCGGAACAGCGTTCTCTCGATTGATAACAAGTGACTTATTTACCAAACCATGTTGCATCCAATTTTTACCTACACCTGCCCCTTCTGGAGCTACGTCTGTTATACTTCCATGCAAAAATTGTAAATTGCACAAAATGCGGTTTTAAGAGAAGCAGTGGATTGCCGCTGGTTCATCAGAAACACGACGATTCACCGTGAACTCAATATACCAGAGATAAATGTTTATATGGCCAAACTGGCTGAGAAAATTTTCCAGAAAATTCCGGATGTCAACAATGATACTATACTCATCTTAAATTATGATTTTTGTGCAAATGTAAGTAGGAAAAGGCAGAAGGCTGTCCTAAGGCATATTTCTTAAATGTCTATTGTTTATGTATTACCCTGTATTTTCAATGTTCTATCATTTGTATTTTCATGTTATATCTCCCTTGCTTTCGAGTTTTTTGCTTTTCATCTGTAACGTCCCCCCTCCAATTAACTGCTTAAAGCTCCTACATTGTTCTGTCTGTACCCTGTTGGTGGTAACCACTAGCATTCCCTATGTATTTTTTGAATCTATCTATATATATGATTGTACCACTATCATATGAATATCTATTATTAACTTTGTAACTCTATGTAAATCTACGCACTTGTTCCTCTTTAATCATATGTACTGCAACAACAGTGTATGTATTTTCATATTCAGTTGTTTTCTTTATTACTAGATTTATGCAGTATGACAATAGAATATTAACAACTCTTCAAGGGCCCCGTAACCGTGCCCATGTTGCGAACCCTTCTTCTTCTTCTTTTTTTCTCTCTCTAGTAACAGAACATTAAATTTACCGTGCCAACGAAGTTGTGTTACGTGGGATGGTCCTCTCAGTTCCGCATGGGTATACCCAGATAAATCCGGGGCGGAAGCCAGCTCTGCGGTTTAAATCCCACTTAACTGCTGTAGTTTCATTTATACCTGATTAATTGTATGTTATGGTTTACTGGCAATTACTGGCATTTCTTTTAAATTGTGTACAATCGCACTTCACCGAGCATCCACGAGTACCTCCAGGATTTTTGTCGCCAGACTTGGTCTAACGGCAGTCAGGATTAGCGTATAGTCTCGTCTGGTTCATTTTTCATCTCAAGATGTGCTACGAACTGTGGACTCTAGTAAGTTACCCATGTTATGCTCTAAATTTCTTCGAACTCCCAACTTTATGAACTAATACGTGTTCCAAAATCGTCAAGCTTAGTTATATTGGGATAGAAAAAATTATCGCGGTTACCCGAGAACAGCTTATGCATCGCGCCTGAACTGGCAAATCTGATAGTGGTTTGAAATGCAGGTGTAGTGAATGATATTTTTTTTTTTAATTTACATTAAATAGAAAAATCTATTCAGTTTACGAATGCATTCATTTTTCATTCATTTTACTGTTTCATATTCTGAAGGAAGAATATATTTTCGCAATTATATAATTAAAAAATTGTTTAAGAAATAAGAATTTCAATAGAGCAAAGGCATAGTATCATAATTATTTTCGTTTTTTGGATAATAAATTAACTCTTTATGATATATTTCCTTGCATATTTCCCAGGAACCTCAGTTAGATGTTCTTGGAGACGAAAAGAAGAAGGCATTATCGAAAGCACTCGAAAGATTTAAGAAAATTTGTTTAGTAAGTATAAAGTATTCTTATCGGTACATATGTATTATGCTGTCGACCGGCCAAGTATCCCGATTTAGTGCAAATTATGAATGCCCATTTCCATTAGATTTCTACAGTGACGATAGGCAATTGACGACCATTGGCGTCGACGGGATAATATGCAAGTACGCTATTAGTTTACTTTTATTACACATGCACGTACGCAGAACTCAAAAAAGGTACTTGATTTCCTTAAGTAAGACTTGAATTCCTTAAATATTCATCATTTCCCTGTAATTTCATGGTAGTATTTCGCATAATAAAATGAAGAATTTTATAAAAATTGCCTTGGAAGTAGAAGGATTCCGTAAATAAATAAATAAATAATTTTTGCAAACCTTCCCAAGCAAAAATTACGACTAGTAAAATATTCAATACACTTTAATAAGTTAAATATAAAAACATCGATAATCTGCTTTTAAAATTCTCAGAACTAAGCGTAATTAATAGTTTTAAGGAAACAACTGCAAATTCAACATTCTCTTTTATTCGACAAGGAAACCTCAATCGTCAAAACTAGCAACTTTGTTTTGCAATTTTTCCTTAAATTAGAGGGGAAAATCTTGAAATTTTCTCCGTCATAGACAATGAAAAATTATTTAAGTTGCTAAAGTCATTAACAGGTATCTTCGCAAATTTTGATTCTAAAAATCGAAATTTCCTACATTTAATTTATAAAGAGTACCTAAAATGTTATTAATTATATATTTTCTTCTCCTGGCAATTTTATATTGCAGGATTTTAATCTTCGGTGGTAAGAATATTTTTTAAAAAAATCTGTTATTATTATTTTTTTTGAGAAACTATGATTCATACATATGTTTAATGCTGCCTACAATTGAAGGAATATATTTAATATATTTTACATTTAAATGGGCTACACAGAAATTCGTAAAAAGTAGATAAGGTAATAAGAATATCTCTGAAATAAAGGTAGATAAGATAATAGGATCAGCTGTGAAACAATAGTAGATAATACGAACACGTGCGAAGATCTAGGGTAAAGGTTACGTGCAATAAATATGAGGATGCAAGAAAAACATTTGAAGTAAATTTCATATCAGAAGCGTTTTCAGTGATTGAATTCTATTGTGTTTTCCTTCCTTGCCTAAATAAAAGACAACTGTCACGCAAGGAACTTTTTTTCTTCCCTGTGAATTTACATCTTCGTAAACTATGCAGATGAAATTACTTGTTATATTGATAACTGTGACTACATCAGGGCTTAATTTCTAAAAGTAGAAGTGCCGGAGCCTTGTGGAAAACCGTCAGGATAGAGCAGCAAGAGTAAATAAAATAACTATTAAAATCATTAATAATTTACAAATTAAATTGTTAATGAGTATCAAATTAATTAATAATTATCTAATTGATATTAATAATCAATATTTATCAATTAGTATTTAGTTTATAATTATTATTGAATTAATTCACAGTTAATTTGTTAAAATAATTAAAGATTAAAGTAATTAATTAATTAAAATTAAATAAAATGTTAAGAGATAAATTAAAATTTAATAAGCGATTTTTTATGTAATTTTATTTCTAAAAATAACATTTTCTAAATCAAATTTCTGCTGAAATAATTGTTCAGTTACATAAAAAAGGTACCGGAGCCGGCTATTTAGGGCTCCGGTGCGCACCGACTAGAATTAGAATAAATCCCAAAAACTAAGAAGTACCGAAACCGGGCTCCAATGGGCTCCGGCGCAATTTAAGCTCTGGACTACATGTTTAAATACTGAAATTTATAAATAATTCAGAATCATTTTAAGAATTATTATCAGTACTATAAATTTCTTTAATTCATATATAAGATATTTTTAATGATCAAAATGTAATAGAGCTTATCATCTATTACCATAAACCTTTTGAGAGAAATTTTGTATTAACAGCTTTTGTGTGCTGCTATTTCGAAAAGAGACTAATATACTGTTGCGATTCACGGGATCGTTGATATTTCTTTTAATATTTTATCCACATGAAGAAATAAACAAATTATTATAAAAAGCAAAATAAACAGTACACACATTATAATATTGGCTGGAAATGACTCAAGGAGAACGCGAATATTTAGCAGTTCTTCCTTAACGCACGAAATAAATCGTAAAGTTGCTCAAGTCACTCTCAGGGTAAACTCTAACTCATAGTTCATCTAACCATTAAATTCCACGGGTGATTGGCTACTGATTCACAGCTGAATTCCCTACCAATACCACTGGTGTAGTACCACTAATTTATGGCACGAAGCGCGATATTATCAGCTTAATTAAAATTCTGCCATACTGGCGCATGATCGCGTTGAAATCTTACGCGGATGCAATCCGTGTGGACAGAAACTTTAAAGGAGCTCAATCCCTAGATCTTCGACCCGTATGTATACTCTGCAACATAGACTCTGGAAACCTCTGGAAGAATCGGTCATAGGCTTCGAAAATGTGTTTTCGCGAATTTTCCAGAAATTCGCTAAGTTGGCTAGAAATCTCCAAATATCGTAAACGTGGTGCCACAAATTGTCGCCACGGACATGTACGAACGAAACTGAATATATCTCGAGTTCTAATTGAGATATTTTTACAATTATAAAGCACTTAGATTTAAAACATTTATAATTATATGTATAATTCTATTAAATACAAAACAAAAAATACAATTAAAAAGCATTAAAATATATACAAGTATTTACAACAATATTGACAAATATTCATGCCTTACGTGGAATATAAAATCATTTCCAATGCTGTGCATTCAAATAACATTTATTGTTTTCATTGAAAATTTGAGATTTTAAAAAAAAAGGTTTTTTTTTTTTTTTTTTTTTTTTTTTTTTTTAAATACACATTAAGATTTAGAAAATGTTTTTCCAAGTTCTCTCCTCACCCACCTCAATTCACATAATGAAAATGGATTGTTGATACTTTTAGAATAAAGCTGTCGATGTCATTTATATATTTTTTTAGATTGTAACTATTTAGAATATAATGGACAACTTGATATTGCTACTACACTTTCTAAAATAAACTACACTTTCTAAAAAACTCGTACTACAGCTTATTGATGGCACTCACTATTGACGTTAACCATCGTGTCATTTTTAACTCTTTGCAAATGTTTTAAGCCAACAATTTTTGTCATACGTATATTATTCCACCGGCATGTGTGATTTTACAATACTCTGATTAGTTTGTAAAGAAAAAAGTAGGTGTTGCCTTTCGAAAATTTCAAATTTTTTTTACTGTAACCGTAATCATGAGAGCTCTATTATTTTAAATTAGCAGAATCTCGAACACATACTTTCAAATAACAAAGTTCTTTTTCACTATTTTATACATCGAATGATTTTCTAAGGACTATTTCATGTTTTTTTTTTTTTTTTGTTTACTTGTGTCTATTGGAAAAGCACGCAAAGTTTGAGGGAAATGAAATCTTTGTGTATGTTAACTTCCTTTTGTAGTTAAATTAATCACTCGTAAAATGGTTGTAAAAGACAAACAAACATTTATTTAAAGATAAATCTTAATAACCTACACGTAACGTATTCGTAAACGTACATAACATAACAAACGTACTTACTGCATCGTACCGTTAAACATTTCTAAGAGTACATCATCTCCATGTATATTTTTAGAATTATATATAGAACGACATCCAGAAATTAACTGTTGCCATTTTCTCAATAGATATTTTGTCTAATAACAATTAAATAATTTACAATCGTTCTTACATTCGACCATCCTGACTTTTCAATTGTCCTCAATTGAACCAAATCTTATCATACATTAAAGCAACAATTAAACAACAACAAAATATAATAAGTAGGTAGGAAAAAAATAAAATCAAATATAATTTAAAAAAAAAATTCTGTAAGACCTATACAAAGTCTCTATAGCACAATGGTTTGCGCACTGTTCGCTTGGGCCTTTTAAGTTCGTCGTCAACCTCGTCATTATCATCATCTTCTGTATTTCTGGAAATGATGGCCTCCAAAGATCTGTTTTTAGCACGTGAATCAGCTTGGTGGGGCTTTCGATAACCCATTTTTGATCTGTAAAGTGGACAAGATCTAGATCCTTGACCTCATGGCTACTGTTCTTCGTCATTTGCTTCAGTATCTTTACTAGTTGCTTCTCCTTCCATTCTACTTTAACTGCATTCAGTGTCATTCCTATGATAGTGGGTTTTGCTATTAAAGCACTTTTGATAAAATCGTCTAGGATTCCAGTGATTGTCTCTTCGACCTCCTGAAACTCTTTCTTCGGTTTTTCTTTCATTTCGTTCATCTTCACTTCCACCATCACGTTCCAAACGTTTCGTGGAAGTCCTATGGATAGATAATTACAATATTGCCTGAAGTAAGGATGACGTAATTGCCTTCGTACGGGCCTTTGAGGTTGTAGTTGCTGCTTATCATCTACATTCTCTTGGCTCTGACTAAAGACCATCACTTTCGTCATTCTGTCTTGCCTTGGCATGAAGTGGTGTTTAGAGAACAGTTGTCCACAGTGTCGATTTCTATTTGCAGCATAAGGACTATTTTTCACCGAAGTGCGATTCAGTCCAGTCAGATTTGCAGCTTCATTCCCCTTCTCTCGAACAACAACTTCAAATGCACCTAATTCACCATCTCCTACACTTCGAACGGCACTTTTTGTATTGTTTTTCTTTACTGCAGTTTGATGAACGAATATATCTTCTTTAGGGTCCATTTTTATGAGATCAGTGCACCCGAGTTCTGAAATATTCAGTGCGAAGGAATCTCTGTATTCATTCGAAAAACGCAATAACTCTTGCTGGTGATCATTGTCGAGATCCGAGCCAATTTTAACTTGGCTTAAACTTATAGGAACTTTTATGTTGTTAATATTTTCCGTTTTTGCTAAGTTCGAGCTCAATTCAGAAATTTCAGTATTCAAACATAGTTCAACTTCTTCTGCTCTCCTAAAGCATTGATCGTTTTGGAACCTAGCACT